CCTGTCCAGGTCTCGCTGAATGGCAGCACAGCCTGCTACTGTATCCACCACTCCTCCCAGTTTGGTGTCATCAGCCAACTTGCTGAGGGCACTCTCTAACTCTTCATCCAGGTCATTCATATTATGGAAAAAAAGAGAAGGCCACACCAGCAAACAGAAATCTGTTTGGTAACAAAAACCACTGACTGATGCATAGCTTGCAATGTCCATGCCAACTTCTATTACTGAATAGTAGCAAACTTGAAATAATTCCGCAAACCCTGTCAATAGTAAAGTTGTACCACTTCATCCCTTCCCCTCCAAACACACTTTTATGAAAATTGTACATGAAGTCTTATTAAACCTAAAAATCAGAAAACCAGGAAAGTCTTAGTTGATACTAACCTTAAATAAAGACCCTATAAATTAAAAGAATATGCCATTGCAGAAGTAAGGTCATTTTGAAGCACTTTCAATTTTCCATTATACAGCCTCTTTACTTTCAGTGAGTACAATACTTCATCAGCAACAACAAAAGAAATGAACAAGTTTGGATAATGGAGTTTATGGTCAGCTCAGATTAGAATCATTGTCTAATAATTAGAACTAGCCTTAACTATGTTATCTACAAGCCTACAAATAATTTGGGTCTACTCATGAAAGAAAACTCTCAGCTTAAAATTTCCCAGCTGTCTCATTTGTATTAAATCATGGCAAATACTCATTAAAAAACAAACTGTACCATGACAAGACTAACATATTCTAAACAGCATTCCATCTTAATGAATTTATTTTTCCTGTGACATTTTGTAAAAATTGCCATACATGTATTGACTGAAATATGATATGCAAACAACTCTTCACATGATATGGAAGATAATTTCCTAGTTGTGGAGTTGAAAATATTCAAAAATCACAAAGGCAAACATGAATCCTAGATTCACTAACATTCAAGAGGATGAAAAACATAACAAATATTTCTTTCATCCACTTTAGGCCCTGCAGTGAAATGACTGATAATCTAAGGGGTCCACTGGGCCTTACTACAGTGCCTGATATCTAACACTTTATGAATGAAGGACAATATATAAAATAGAAGCAAACTGCAATTTAAGTATATGTGCTGTATGGAAAATTACCTTCTCAACTGTAATCATAGATACTAGAGTTTTTATATTGTATGTCAGACGATTGCTCTAAACAGAAAAGGAGGTCGAACTTTAAAATATGTCTGTGTCATTAAAGGCCAGCAGATTTAAATAGTAATTAGCTACTTATTCACATGTTTAATGAAATGCAGTCTCATCCAAGGAACTAAATACCTACAGCATAGGTATTCTCTATTTGAACTGGTCTTTTCTCACTTCGGGTTCTCTTCACAGTTAATGCAGATGAAGGCACAGGAGTCCTAAGATGTGATTCATCTAATACTAAACAGCAGAAGTCGCGCAGTTGAATTACTATTAAAAGTGGCAGATTTTCCCCATTAAATAATAGGGAGAGTTCAGAATTAGCACCCCAACTGTAGTCATTATATTATAGCTTTAAAAGAAGGTGAGATGGATGTTACCCCAAGTTGTTACAAATTCAATGAAGAATCCTCATTTTTAGTCTTATTTTGCTATGAGGCTAAAAACCTAATTAGCAAAAAAAAAACCAAAACCCCTCTATAGGATTAAAATAAGAAACATTAGTAAACCTACAAGGGAATAGCAACTATTAATACTGATGAGATTATAGAAATTGGAAGAAAAAAAAAAAAGCCAAGAGGGAGCCAGGGTACTTACAGTGTCTTCAGCCCTGCTTAATTTTTTGGTGTAGTGCTCTACAAAATAATTTCTTTTGGATGCTTTATTTACCCAAGTTGACTGTACCGTCTTCCAAGACTAGAGCTTTTCATTTATAAAAAGAGAGAAAATGGGGAGGTGGGGAGAAAAGGGGAAAAAACCAAAAGGCTAGCTTTCATCTACTTAGTGCCACACAAAAGTCCCAGAAGGCCTTTCTGATGAGAAACTTAAAAGCAATCATTTCATGATCACCATGTCTTGAAAGTACACACCGATTTCTGCACTTCCAGTACAACTGAAAATAAAGCAGCAAACTGCAGCTAGCGAGACTCAGTTATCTACACCTGAAACTACTGTCAGATCAAAACATGTTCTAGCAATGCTTTACACGGAACACCTAACCCTTAGGCAGTGACGCTAAATCACTTCAAATAACAAACTGTAACATGAAAACAGAGGAAAAAAAATTGGAAACTATAAGCCCTTTGAAGGAGTAAGGGAAGTCTTTTGGTTTGTTTCTAAACAAATGCATACACAGTTGTGTTAGTGAAGAATACATTTGACACCATAATTAACAAAAAATATCCACAGGGGCTTTTTAAGAAAAAAAAAAATTGAAAGATGATCTGGATACACAACAGAAAAAAAAAATCATATGAGAAAAAACATTTCAGAGGCACTTTCTGTACATAAGACACAATTATCAGTTTTTGTCCTAAGTGTAATTTCCTAAAAGTTTTCCCCTACATTCTCTGAGGATTGCATCTTGTTCACTTTGCAGAACTTACTATGTGGCTAAAAGGTATTACAATAAGCTTGTCTACCAACTACTGTACAACATGGCTAGGACTTGCTTATCTATGCAGAGCCAAACTACACTGGAACTGCGTTACAGAATCTGCCACCCAGTAAGACAAAGTTCTTCTAGTTGCAATCCCTGTTGCAGACTTCATTTTGCATAACTCAGTCTGAATTGGATTTTCATTTTGTGTAATTCAAATGAGTATGTAATTTCAAAAAACACCATAAATTTCTGAATAAATGAAGTATGTGTTCGTCTTGACAACTCCACTGCTGAAATCTCCTTGGGATTGTTTCCTCTTGTACAAAAATTATTACAATTGTTTCAAATTGAAGAAATATCACCTTTATGTATTTTGGCCCAATAACATCAATTCTATTGTGTATATGAAAAAACACTTCAGAGAAGACTTAGCAGGGATTATGCAGCACACGTATAAAATCTACTGTTTTTATTTTAAAATATATTACTTTTCTAATAATTATCCTAATGATCCCTATTTTAACTTCTTAAGTCATGCAAATGAGGTTTAAGACTGAAAGCTATGCTATTTACTGCGACCTAGCTTTTGTCTTACTGCTGCTTCAAGCACAACTCAGTTTCTAACTGGGAGGTCACCAGACACAGTGAAACAGTGCAGAAAAGCTGCACCTGTATGGTGGCAAACAGATGACAGATGGATATCTATTTTGTTTCTGCAACAGCCATTTATAGCTCTCCTAAATTACATGTTACGCACAGACTTCTGAAGTAGTATTTTCTACCTTGAAAAATACTTAATGTTTAAAATGAAACATAAAGCTAAAAAAAATTTCCCTACTACACACGCTAGTTGTTAGAGATGTGTGTGTGTATATGTATATATTAAATAAAGTTTAATTTGTTGCCATGTTCTTTTCCTAGATAACTCTAAAGTGACCAAACTACACTCATAACAGCAATGTTTCCTGTGGGAATGATTGTGTAGTTCCAAACTTAAATAAAGGATCCCGTAGGAGACCGGGCGGGTCTGGTGTCGCCATTCAGAGCAGGGGGGCAAGCAGCAGAGCGTCAGATGCTCTCTGTTAACTCCTCCCCCCCAGGGAAAGGAAAGGGATGAAAAGGGAGAGAGACTTACAAAATGAATATTTAAGCAGCTTAACTAATAGCATTAGAGAAATAAAACAAAATAGGCAGAACCGATACTGAGTTCCCCGGAGCTGGGTGCCGGGCGCTGGCATCCTGCCAGCAGCTGGCAGGCGGCACCAGGCAGACCCGGACTGGCCTCAGCAGTGGGCAGGAACTGGACTCAGGGATGCACAGATCGCAGTCTGGATCAGGATCGCAGGCAGGACAAGGAGCAGGGTCCTCTTCAGAAGGCAGCCACGGACGAAGAAAGCGAGACTCTCGTGATCCCCCAGCTTTAAGCTGAGTATGACGTGCATGGCATGGAACACCTCGTTGGTCAGTATCGGGTCTCCTGTCCTGTCCGCCCTTCCCTGCAAGTGCAACCCTTTGTGACTCCTCACTTGCAGGACCTAAGAGGTCTATCAGTGACCTTGGCTGCCATAGCAGTATTTTAAACAGGGGCCTTTTTCTGCATTCATTTCCTACCATTAGCTCAGTAAAACTATAAAGATTAGGTGTTATCAGCTCTGGAGCGGACACTGTCTGTAAAATATGCAGCCAGCTTCAGAAAAATGCAGTTACTTAGAACTTAGCTGTAAGGAAAATTCACTAAAAGAGAATCGGTTCTGTTTAACCTAAATCAGGACATCTGGGATGGGAAAAGCACTCATGTAAATTACACAATTACAGGAGAAGATACCCGCATCAATTTTCTGGCCTCTCACATACAAGTTTTCCTAGAGACATCTGAAAATGACATTACCTTGATTTCCTGAGGCAACGTCAGCCAGCGCAAGCCTGGGAGATTGTCTAAGAATAACGCACTGCAGGTATCATAGTGTTGAGCACTGAGGCTGGCATTTGACTTGAGTCTTGCAGGCTGAAGCGCACGCTGGAAGAACAGGTTGAAAAAATGATCCAGGCGAGAAACATTTTCCACCTGGCAAAAAGCACTGAATAAACATGAACTCCAAGTTAGAATAACATTGAGAAACTTGTAGCTTGTTTATATAACCCTCTGTGCTATAGAAGTCTCCTTACAGCATGATACTACATTTGGATTTCTTTTTTAACATTCATTTTAAACATGAAAAAACCCACTAGGCTAATATCCAGGCAGTACGTACAAACAATGAAAAAAATAAAGCAGTGTAGTATTATAGTAGATGTCTTAGAGCAACTTAAGATGAGACAGTGATCAGCTTTGTCCTTTTGGAAATGAAGATTAATCTTTTTCTTTTAGTAATTTATTTAACTATTTTTGGTGTGTTACAGATCTTATTTTCTTCAGAAGATACAAAAAAGCATTCTACTATTCTAAATGATCTATATTTCTATCCACATCGAGTACTTTACCCCTCACATTCAAAGCTGAGATGCATTTACATAGTTGCAGGTATTAGAAGTAAAAGCCACTCCTGGTCATAAAGCGACATAAAAAACATTGTAAGAAAAAGATAAGGCCTGACATAATGTGAGATTGTTCTTACTAGAAACTTCTATTCTGTTCAACACAGAAAAATGAACACAAGTATTAGGCTTTTCTCTATGGCATACACACTTTAACCCTGAATTGCATGCAAGCATATGAATAGCCTACCTTGGCAATTTTATGTATGTTACAGTTAGACTGAAAATTTTCTGGGTCATTTCCAAATGCAGAGAAAGACAGTCACTCTGCCAAATAAAGTTGAGAAGTCTGGAGTGTTTACTTTATTAAAAATGTAACACTGATTCATATGTATGTTTTATAGACAGTGCCTCAACACAAAGCGTAACATTTGCAGACTGCTGTTGACTTCCACAGTGACTTAGATTATGTGAATGATTTAACCTAATCAAGGACAAAACTTTCTGAAGTTACAAAGACTGTTTGAAAAGAGTCTTACTAGTGTTAAGACTGAAACAAAAAGGCAAGAACAACAGAATTCTGGTTTTTGTGCAAGTGTAAAGGAACATGCAAAGAAATTCCATGTAAACATTAAAATTAATGCTACTAGCTGTCTTTTTCAGTGAGCATCAATGAAAAATTAGTGACTGAAAAGAAAATACTTTTGAAAGAACTCACCTGTCTAAAGAACTGTACATAAATTTCAAGGTCCTGACCACATCTTCAATCATGTTCCTCAGCTGAGTAAGTGGCACACTAAAAAATAAAATACCAAAGTACAGCTACATTGATAACATTTTTAGTATGAATATGCATAGGCATCTTCTGAAAAGCTCTATTCTTAACTAGTCATACAGTGCAAACAAAAAAATTCTTCATGGGACTGTATGAGAGATTTCCTTTGAGTGACTCGCCCATGACACAGACAGCAGCAAAGCTGAGGGGGGTGAGGGGGGAAGTCCTCTCCTAGAACACATAAATACGTAATATTACGCCTGTTATTCAGTAGTCTAATCAGGACTTGACTTTACCAAATACTGACAAATACTGTTTTCTAGCCTACACGTATTTCTGAGATCTAATGAGACATTATTCCCTTTAGAGGAAATGAAGAAGAAACTGTAACAATGGATATAAAAAAAGATGTGAACAAAGTCAATCAAAAAAGTGTAATCACAGGTACAGAAACTAGTTATAGTAGAAAGAAAATATTGTAAGCCCTCCCTTTCTTGCTTTTTTTATGGAAGAGTACAATTTGAGAACACATAACAGGAAACTAAATAAAATTAAAAGGAAAACAAAGCATTTAATTTGAAACTCACTTTTCTTCAGGAAGGCCGATTACAAGTAACTTGTCAGATTCTTTCCAGTAAACAACTTGAACCAGTTTTTCACATAAGAAAAGGGAGGAACTAGAAAAATTAAACCAGAAGTACTTCTGTTAACACTATGAAGTTATAAAAGACCACCACTAAAAGCCAGAATGATTTTTATGTATTTTACATGCAAAATCTTATGCTCATGTATAATTACATCCATGCAACTGGGCTAGGTAATTATATTATTACAGAACTCGAAGATTCTCTGATTTCTATTCGAAACAGATCCCACCAGCAGTAAAAATGTATTCAAGTACACAAATATAAAGGATGAACAACTGCTACTAGAAGCGCCACAGTCATCTTCCAAATGATTCACATGCTCTTTAAAGGTCTTCCTGCCTAGCTTTTAACACAATCAACTTACAAAATGAATGCCATTTCGCATCAAGGGAGGTAACCAGAAGTACTAATGAAGGTTCTGAACACAGCAGTCACTGACAAAACAATTTAAAAAGACTCCACATATGTTCTGAAAACAGGCCCAGGGGGTATTTGAATCTATTACCTGAGTGATAAACATAAGCTTGAACTCTCATGCTATCTCCTTGTACAGAAAATTGCTCTAAGAAGCTCAGCAATCCCAGAAAGCCACAGAGAACTTTCATTTGAATCAGAGAGTGGATTAGAACATGGAACAGAATTAGACCCAATGAGAATTCCAATTAGCTGTAAATCATACATTACACACCAGATTATCAGATTAAATGTATTGGTTGCTGCTAAAACCAAGGTCTGTAAATATCTTGAACCCTAAGTTTATAGCAAAACTCCACCTTTCTTACTATCATGTTAGAAATTTTAAGTGAGAAGATAACACTGCCACAAAGTGAAAAAAGGGTAACTTTAGTTTAAGCTTAAAAGATTCAAGAATTTAATTTTTAGGATATGGCTCTATAATTAACTTGCTTCAGTGATTCACTCATACTGTAAAATTGATGGTGCTGAATAAAACAATAGTGTCATTTCATAGTTAAGAAATATCTTCGTATTTCCACAGAAGAACTCTAAAATGGGAATTGACAACCTTAACAGGAAAGGTGAATTTACATTATCATGGATTTCTATATTGTTTTTCTGGTGACACCATAGGCATAGATCATCAAACAATGGACTGATCTGTCTTTGGAGGTGCCTGTCCAAAATGCTTCTATATGGGAGAATTTCCATGAACAATGCATAAGCATTTAAGAGGAGTTAACATACCTCAGTGCTAAATAATGTGGCATTACATTAAAATACTGGTATATGCAAAAGATCAAAAGCCTGTGTTTGATACCTGCTGCTAAAGGAGTCAATCCATGTTCATATTGATCACTAAATCAGTAATGTGACTTTTAGTAACTTACTAACTAGAAAGTTCTAAGCATGCTTAAAGCACAGTGTTAAAACTTCTTACTGAAAATAGCAGGATATCAACAAATCTGAGAGAAAGAAACAAACGTAAACAAAAGAAAATTAACTAGTATTAATTTTCTGGTAAGCAAAAATATTCAAAAGCATTTCAATAACTCCTTTTTAAGGAAAAATTTATCAGTGGAAAACCCAACTTTAATATATTAAACAGGCTTTTTGCCTGTTGAGGAGTTCCTTATTATTGCCAATGTTGTTCACTACTGCTTGCACTGTCTATTCTTGGGCCTGAAACCCCATTTACATTTAGCTTTTTCATACCAATCCACACACAAGGCACTGATGTGCAGAAGAGAACCTTGCCTGAGACCCCCAAGAGTTGTAAACTGATATTCTTATTCTCATTGGGAAGAAGTGTGAAACTGAAAAGTGATACCTCCTTTCTCACTTCTAATTATTCCATCAAAATCATCTACCTTTAAATATTCAATAATCTATTGGCATATCACCACCAGCCCTACGCTGCTCCAAAAACTCAGGAGTAATTTTTATTAGACTTCTTAGTAGCGTCCTGGTCCGTGGATACAAAAATTTTCATGTGTTGCAAGCTAAATGCAAAATAAAATGAACTTAAAAGTAGCAGGCACTCGTTAATTTAACTGAATTACATTTTATCAATTTTTTTTTAAAATTGATTGAAGCTGTTGTAGAATTTCCAGTCTGCCACAGCACAGTGCCACAGAATCTCAGTTTAGACAAGGATGTTTTAAGAGATCTAAGAAGGGATCTAAAAACAATTTCACTGAACCAAGAATCCTAGTCATTGCCACCCATGACAAAGAAATTCCCTCCAAATCAATACACATCCAGGCTGAGCAGTCCAACTTCGGACATGCTGTTCTAGTTAAAACATCACTGCCTAACAGGTAGAGTCATTCTTCTTTTGTCTAGAACTTGATGCACAACCCATGTGTGTTTTTCTTAAACATATGTATAAAATAATAAAAGTAGTAATACATTACATTTCAAATAATTTTACCTGATAATCTGGGTACCAGTAACACTTTCCAGTATGTCAGATAGTGTGAGAAATATTCCTCTCACACTTTTCAGTTTTTGGGATGCTTCTGATTTGGGGTACTGATAAAGAATTTCTTGCTGTGAAGACAGTTAGGTGTTAGTTAAGCAAAGCAAAATCAAAAACAAACTGACACAAAAAACTGCCACAGAAACCAATAATTTTTTTCCTGACTTTTTTTTTTTTTTAAACATGAATGCTTTTATCATATACTTTCACATGGTATCAAAACAAGCAGTGGTCTGCTCGGGCATACTGGAAAGTTCTAAAATGCACATGAATGTTTCTGATGGTTTTATCTTTTCTGATTTACAAAATAGTAGGACTTAGAATCATTCTTATATGGAGAAACATAAAGTGATAAACAGTATGGTCACTGCATTTTACAGCTTAAAGTATACTTTTAACAAATCTGATTCCAAGAGATAGCTAATATTTGTATGGTTCTTTCAATATTTAAATTGATTTAAATCAAACAGTTCTTTAAAACCAACAATAAAAATACGAAAACTCCAATCTCTCTGTATAAGTCTACCTAATTACTTTAGAAGTATAGCACAATATATAACTGAGGTATATACTCAAATAACATATACACCATTAACAATTTTATCACCAAACCTCTGACCATCTGCATCAGTATACTCTTACTCATCTTGAAGCTGAAGATCAGTAGATAAATGCTTGTGACAATTACTTTTCTTTCTCTAACCAGTTCTTTAAAACAAATGTTTTATGTAAGCATTTTAAAAAATTGTATTAATAATTCCAGCAACTATAACAATGTAGTAATAAGCAAACATAATTCCTCGCAATTATTGCTTTTTGCCAAATCATGATGGGCAAGACATAATGTGTATGGTATCAAGCATATTCAATGCAAAGAGCATACTAAATTATCTTTCTACACAAATAAAAGAACATGATTAACTTTCCTGTTTATGTCACTAAGCACTTCCAGCCAGTGCCAATACCCATCAGAAAATTTTTCTTCATCAAGTTTCATTACAGAAGGACCTGGCAAACTCTTCATTCTTATCCAATTAATTAGCTCTATTTTCAAATACTCATTAGCGACAAGGATTTTTTTCTTTCTTGAATCAATCCCTCAGCTGGAAAAAACCCTGCCATTTTCTAACTACGGCATTACACAAGGCTAAAAAGAGCCTTTTTTTCTCCTCACTATCAACCAGGGCCTTTACACAAAATTCATTTGAGAATTAACTGTACACTTTCCCAGGGACAAGAAAAGAACTGTAACAAAAGGTCACAGCTGCATCTTATATATATATATTAATGAGTTAGCAAGGTTCAGCAGATATCGCCATACAAGATCAGCCCTCTTCAAAGCAAGGTGAAAGTTCATAGGCGAATGACAATGGAATTAATAAATGAGAAATAACTAATTTCTCAAAAAGTGTAATCCTCCCTCAATCCACAAAAACCAAGCCTGGAGAGACTATCTGAACTAATGGCTTACCAAACAGCCTCCCTTTTTTATTTTTATTTTACTAATTTCTCAAACTGAGCCTAAATAACATTAAAAAAAAAACCCGCAGTCCTGACAATGTAAGAAATGGCTAAAAGAATTGTGTCAAAATGGTGCCGACCAGCTAAAAACCTATAATCTTCAAACACAGTGCATTGACTATAGATGCTTTAAGTTGCATCTTACATAAGATTAACAAAGAAACAACAGATGAAGAGACAACTATGAATTCTTACAGATCAATTCAGAAATTGTAAAAACAGAGAGAAATGCTGCAGGAAGTACAAGTCAGTGTCTGTATGAACCAAGGTATCTCAACAGCTACCCAGTAATACCCACTTTGCAAGTGTGCGAAACACAGGCTTCCAGTAGCACTATCACGTAGGGGAATATGAACATTACTCCCTTTGAAATGTGGTATCACCCAAATGAGTTCAAATACATCAAGATGTTACGGTGTATGCTGGTACAAATATGTATGTTATAATCGTAATACCTACCTTGAACTAAAACATAAAAAAGGAGAGATCAACCTTACTCATCGAAACCATTATCATATGGGACACTCCCCACAGGCACGCACACATCCTAAATTATTCCTAACACTGCTTTCCTTTATCCTCGAGTAGAGCTTACAAGTCTTAGAGTTTATTAATTCTATTTTTTGGTGCCAAAAGCTCACAAGCGGAGGAATTAGTTACTAGTTCTGGTTGCCATTGTTTATATGGATGTGATCTGCATACCATGCTTCCTTTGGATATGGGTAAAGAAGCTTAGTAAAGGATCATTATATTTTTATTGTGCAATATGGCATAGGTGTATAACAGCAGTGCTAATTTGAAGTTCTACTGTAAACTAAATCTGGAACAGTACATCTACAGGACAAATGTCACTTACCGTTCACCAAATGAAATTAAAGACAAATGCCTTGAAGAAGGCGGCATTCTTTTGTTAGGAAATGTTACAAAGAGCTGGATTACACCAGCAAAGCATCTCTCAACATTAGACACTATTTGGGGCTGCATAACTGCCAGAACTTCTCAGGAAACAATTCTTCCATGGTATGAAGGGAGAACAAGCGCATTACAATCCCTCTTTTACCTCTCCTCAACATTCAGGGTTAATCCTGTTTCTTTGGAGAGTGTAAGGAAATAATGAGACAAGAAAGCAGTACTCAGTTTACTCTGAAGTGCAGGAATTACAGTTAGGCGTTTGCATATCTATTCACCTACCAACAGAGGAGCCAGAGGCCCTGAAATAAATATTTCTTTTAATATTTCATAAAGCTTATGTAAGTGACCAAGAAGACACTGGTCTTTAAGTCTACAGCAATTGTCCACAGCTGTTTTATCCATGTAACATATCGGTCTTGGACTACAAACTTAGAATTGTGAGAAAAAAATAATTATTTGCAATACGTAAGTGAACGTTGACAAAGCAACTGTGAATCAAATAAACTTGAGACAAATGAGCTCTTTTCATTTTTATTATGGGGAAATACCAAAGCAGAAAAATACTGCAGTATCGTATGTTTTAAAAGAAGCAGTCTCCAGGTAGGAAAAAGAGCACAGAATGACCTTGCCTAGTTGCAACACTATATTAAAAAAAATAATAATAATTATAAGACACACTTGCATAAACTAATTTCTACTGAAGGTACCTCCCACGAAAAAATGTAGTCTCTTAAATGGGATTGGAAAGAACTGCAAACCAAAGCTTAGTGTTAGTATCTTGCTGTAACACGCAACGAAGTGTACATTAGCTTAAAAAAATATTACGTTAAGAGCATGATTTATATTGCAAAGTCGAGTACTCCAGAGTTATGAAGTACTGGAGTTATGGTTGCCTAATAAACTTTAATTATAGACACTCATCTGTCCATCTCAACCTCTGCACAAGATGGACATCTTTCAGAAAAAAAATATTTAAAAACAGTGCCATGCTGTGTATGTACAAAAAGGCTGAATTAAAGTTGCACAAGTAGCCATAAATCTGTCATCTCCTAGCTTTCAAGCACCTGACTCTGCAAACTTCACAACATTTTTTTACATGCTATTATGATATCATGTAATTCTTTAGGGTTCTCCTCCCCAGACCTGTCTCTAGAGAATACAATTAAACTCCATTATATGTAGTTGTGACACTTTATTACACATCACCAACAGAGCAGTACAGACTTCTATCAGTTGAGAAACAGTCTCAAAAAAATAAAGACATCTCAGAGTAGGGATGGATCTAAGGATTAACTCCAGGGGAGAGAAAGCAAAATGTCTTTCTTCTGCTCCCCACTCCATCACTGTCGCTCCATCCCAGTCCCTGAGGATCGGTAAAACGTGTGCTTCATTTGATGTCTCCACATCACAGATAATACAAGATCACTGGAGCACTATGCTAAATCTAAGAAGAATTTACAGAAGGGCAGAAGAGTCTTTTTCCAAATGTCTGTTCCTAAAGAGTCCATTTTGTCCATTTGTCACCTTCAGATCAGGCAAGAGGCCAAACTCAGCCCTCCACAATGCTCTGCGTCTCCCCTGCATTCCGAGTGGAGTATTTGTAGCTATGGCTACACCATGAACAACATCTGCACAAACTTACAAGGGGTTATACATACACCGGCAATTTTTTTCTGAGGAACACAAAAAGGAAAGAGATGCGAAAAGAAGCTTTACAGGACAAAGGAAAAGTACTCCAGCAGCTCAAAAATGTTGCCCAAGCAAGAATCAGCGGCTGACTGCAAACAGCAGACATGGGAGAACCCTCTAAGAAAAGGCACATTAGCATTTCAAAACAGGAGGAGTTAGACAGACTATGAATGTGTACCGACAACAGCTCCTGCTGGGGAAAATTTTTTTGACTAGGCAGACTTCATAGTTCAAGTTTGAGAGGCGCATTGAAAACATCACAGTGAGCGTCTGAGACACAATAATGAAATTCTGAATTTATCTCTGCTTTGTCTGTTAACACCCCCAGGCTGCTCTTTACGTAAAGACATGCAGCAGCGCTGAAATGATTTCAAGTCCAACTAGAGTTTGTCAGCAGCGATGGTAATTTTTTTCCCCCGGAATTTCAGGTCTTATTTCTGTCAAAATGTACATTTTACAGACTACTCAAAATGATTAGCAAGGTTTTGTTTTTTTTTTTTTACATCAAAAGGCATAGCAGTTGCTGTTGTCAATGGTTACCTTTCATCTTCAGTTTTATTTACTTAGCCACATACCTCATCCTTAGATGTTTCAGAGTCCAGTTTCATTGTGAGGAACATAATAATATGAGGCAGGTCTTGTATAGCCTGTTGAAGGTCCGTACCATCTTCTCCCCACAAGAGCCGAACCAGATTGTTCATACTTGACTGTGCCCGTTTGTACCTTTGCTGAGAAGTTCCTTCAGGCTCAAATATTGATGTTTCAAATGTAAGTTTAACCTATTAAAAGATAATTAATTATTGTGAAAATGAGATTGTACTTACAATTATTTTGTAGTATCAGATGAAATAGATGCATTTTGAGCCCTTTAAGAGATTAAGTTTTCTTAGCTTTACTGACAAAGATGTAAGCATTCAAAAATAACTGCTGTTTCAAGAAAACCAACTATATATTCAGCATTACATAACCACCCATTATTAAGGACAAAGCCAGCTATTACATGCTCTATGAACCATGTGAGTAAGCATGTGGTTTGGTGTGTTTTCATGCTTAATTCTTACAGTTTTGAGAACGGAAAAACATACTGCTCTGGTTTTGTTTGAACACAAAACCTATTACCATGCTTTTGAAACACACAATATTCGACTTCTTTCGAAACGTCAGCACTTTCATATATATTCTCAAGGCTCTTTCACGAGCATTTCTTTGCTATTTTGAGTGCACTGACAGCTACATTTGCACAGAAAAAAATCAATTTACACTAGACTGCAAAAGTCCTATTCATTCATAACACTCAGTAGCGATTCTTTCCATCTGCCAACATTTTCACTATATTAACTTTTCTTTTTTTTTTTACACTGTAAAATAAGTAAATAAGAGTTTTGTTGCTGTATTTAACAACTGTACACAACTAGCGAAAGTGTAAAAATTGTTTACATCACTTGCTGTGCTATGTCTTCAGAAAAAAAAATCATCAAAGCACAAACAGAGCATTCTCTCTTAAAAAGCAACTTGAAGTTTAGACAATCAAGCTTATTTTGTCAAAAGATTATAGGATGTTTTATTTCCCAAATAAAGTAAAACACAAGAATTTTAGAATAAATGAGTATTTTCTGGCTCACAAGCAACACAAAATCCAAACTCAGTGTGGAAATTTGTTTCACAATTTGCTCTACAGACCTCCTTTTTATGAGCACTGCCTTACAAAAATAGTGTTTGTTAACTGTTCCAGCAGTGATGAAATAAAAGAGTATTTTTTTTTAGGAATGAACACTTCATCCTAGGCATGAAAGAAGGATATGTGAGAAATACGTAGCTCTTGAGTGAGCACAAAATTGTGATTTCCAAGGAGAATAAATTGATTTATTTTCTTGGATGATACCTTAGTTTTCATCATTGTTCAAACTGACTGAAAATACATCTATTTGGACTAAGTAGGCATGCTCTCATTTTCCTCCTTCATATGTTTTTATTCAAGATTGATTGTCTGCCTTGAAATGTTCTTAATATGCCTATTGACTGGGAAGTTCTAAACATAATACATCACACCAAATCGTGCTTCTCTTTAAAGTCAGTGACAGTTTAGCCTAATGATTGATGCACCAAAAAAGGTTGCAATAAATTTGAAAAGCCCAAGCAGAGGTAATTTAAATTTTTAAATATAGATAATTTACATTTTCATAATAGTGTAGGTGTATACACATACTTAACAAGAGGAGTGCCAGCAAGAAACAATGATGATTTAAAACACACACCGCCTGTCAGACTAGATCAGAGAGAACTGCCTTCATCAGCTCTTCCAGCTACAATATTTATGTCACTGGCTGCTGCCTATCCATTCCGCTCCAGTCCCTCCCAACAGTTCTCATTAATCTTTTCCTCTCCTATTTTGGCTGCTATCAGCTTTTTTCTCTTTTCTCTTCCCATTCTCTGGAACAGCACTGCACTCAATCCTGCTCTCCTGCTGTGTGCTACCGCCTTCTTTTCTGACAGTAACTCATCCCTTGCTCTCTTCTTATCATTTCAGTTTTCATTCATTACACTGCATATTGACAGGACATGATGAGCAGAAACATCCAGCTAAGAAGCAGTGGCTTTTTAAGACCCACTAACTTTATTGTTCACAGTTTCATAGATATAAGTTTTCTTCTCTGGCTTTCTGTGACTCACTTCTTTTTCTTCGTCACGCCATCTGCACGTATTTCAGAGGATTCTCCTCATATGCTGTGTAACTTCTTGCAGATTTCCTCAAGGCTCAACAGTTACTCCTCTTAACTTCTACTACATCTTGTCTGTGGACACTTATTCATGACACTTAGGCTACACTCTCTACACTAATGACACACAGATGTAATTCTTGCTGCAGTCTATCTCCTAGTCTCTCAATTAAAAAAAAAAAAGACTCAGTTTGTCTTATCTTAGAGACACAACCATACAGTCCTTGAAGCAAGAGCTCAAAACAAATCGGGCCAAACAGAACTTTAACTCTCCCTCCTCCTGCAGGCATCCACGCTGCCTCCCACATCACTGTGGGCAATGCCACACTGCTCAGATGTGAAGTCACAGCATTTTGAGAAAGGTCTCGCTACACAATTTGACTACAAGTTCCTTTCCAAATCTTCTTGATTCTGTCTAACAGCTTGAAACATGACATTTTCTGTCCCTCTACTTTTGTCCAAGTTCTAATCTATTTCCTCCCTTTAAAAAAGAAAACTATTGTGAAACAGACCATTTAGGCTGGAAAACGCTGTAATAGAAAATCACCAAGAGATTGCATTTATACGTACCCTAAAAAACTACTTTTTTTTTTTTGTGGAGGAGAAATGAAGCTTTGTCCTGAGCAGTGCATGGGATCTGATTAAATATGTGACTACTGAAGTAGCCTTTTGTAAATACTGACTATGAAATCTTTCACAACTTTGATTCCATTTCTCCTAAAGCAAATCAGTTTAATGCACAGCAGAAAACAGAAAAGGAAATGAAATTAAATGAAGAATGTGATAAGCACATAAAATACTAGTATTCCACTCTATAAATATATAGCATGCACACATTCTCTATACTTCGAAGAGTTCTCGAAAAGAATTTAATCAAACTGCAAGTAGGCACTGATGAAGGTGCCTGAAACAGCAAACTATGAGGTACATAGATGGGGATTTTTCCCCGCTTAGGAAAGATTTGACAAAAGTCGAACATGATAGAGCTCTGCAAGTCGTGGAATGATATGAAGAGTAAGACATGGACAGTTAACTACTCCTCGTAACACAGGAACCTGGGGGCACGAAATCCACTTAATTAGACGGCAGTTTGAAAACCAACAAAAATGAATATAACGCATACATCAGTTACGTAAATCACTTCTACAGTCAGAGGAATTAGAAGAGCTAGATAAGAAAGGAGAAGGTACAAACCTGTAAGTGATCCAACAAGTCCCTAATTATTGACTGCTTGATGCTGGAAAAGTATGATGGGAACGTCATTCTGTATTTAATTTGTCTCTTAATACTCTCCACTTAAACATTTGTCAGTGTAAGAACCAGAAAATGTAGCTGTTGTAATATTAGTCTGACTCAGAAAGGCATGCTTTCTGTTTATCTGCAAGAAAGCTGTATGTGTCTCAGAATATGGCTTTTATTATACCAGAGCTGGTGGCATTGCCTGCCTTTTAAGATTGCCTGCCATTTCCAGTTGTGAGTCTCTGTTTTCCATGTGCTTGTGGTTTGCACAACTGTAACTCAAAATTTCAGGCTGAAATTTCTGATTCTCAATGTCTGCCTCAGGCTGAATATTTTAAGAAAGTTTCAGGTGAAACTGCTCTGCAACTTCTGCGTATCAGGGTAAGGAAAAGTGTATTCTTTCTGCATATCTTCCTATTCTGTCTTCTCTGTCTTGTGGTGCTAGGAAACAGCAGCTGTTTTGATTACAGAAATGTAAAATTGTACAGACTGCAGAATATAACTTTATCATACTATCTCAAGCATTGATTGAGGGGTACGCTCTGTCCTGTCACAGTCAGTGACTGCTATAGAACTTCCAAACAGGTATTGAATGCTTTAATCAGAATTGGGACTTATTAGTTGACATGCAAGCACCCAAACAGAAAGAGCTGTGCCATTTGGGGGGGGGGCGGGGGGCTGATGTAGCATTTGGACTTCTATTGCTCAATAAATACACTAAACTAGCCCTTACATGCCTAGAAGCTAGTTTGTCTAAACTGGGGTAAGGAAAACAAAATGCTGGAAATACAATAATGAGAATTGTTATGCCAGATTCTCTCAGTTGCAGCATATAGGTAATTAGTTCTTGAAATTACTTCCAGTAATTTTTAACACTGAACCCAGAAAAGCAGTGACTTTACTTATGTAAATAACTTATAGCCACAGTAAAATGGCTTTAAACTGCATCTTTTTTGATATGTTGCAATGTATGATGAATGAGAATACATTAACAATTTAGCTCGTGTAACAGCTCTCTTTATTACTAAATCTCAGAAAAAACAACCCTCTGTTTGTTTCTTCAGCAGCATTAACACAGTGTTCTACACTGCAAAAACCCCAGAACTCTGTATTTAAATTCTCCACTGGTCTATTTCAGCAATCACTCTTCTGGCTTGACTCAAACTGCACAGTAAAAGCAGAATAATTGCACTTTAATAAAAGGTTTTGGAAAGCCAACAGGACAAACAGTTATACTTTTCAAGTAATTGCTGTCTACTTGACAGATTTACTGACAATGTAAATATTAATGTTGCATTAAAACTAACTACTATATAAAGGGTTGCATTGCATTTTAGCAACAAGTAATACGTATACTCTAATCTAGCAAGGATACAACTAAATAAACTAGATAATCTCTGCTATTTTAATCATTCTGTATTTAAGAACAGTTACAGCAACTCCATATTTGGTCAAAGTCAGGCAAGACAACGTTTTTCTACCATGGAGCTCTGCCAATATCTGACCACAACTCTGGTAGCTTAGGCAAGCTTCATACTGTCAGATACCTTGGAAAGCTTCCTAAACTGACATACTAGCACTCAATCTTACTGCAATTGCAGATGTAGTTCTACAGGCGCTTACACTATGTAAGTTGCAAACAGAAGCATGTGTTACAAAACCTAAAATTTCCAATTCATGTCTAGACAGTAATACATTTCTATATTATCACTTTGTATATTCTACATGAAAAAAACCTACCAAGAGGTTACAGATGTACTGTAAGAGACACTATAATTTTAACCTGCTCCATCTTATATCTATAAATTGCAACTTTTACCTTGTCTTCCTGTCTACCAGGAAGTGGATTTAAGCAGAATAACTCAAAATACTTAATTTTACACTACTAACATCCTAGGTAATTAACACTCTCCTGGTTTAGTTCTGAGATAGCTATCTAATTCTTTATTCATTATTTAATTTTTCATTATAGCTCAAAAATTATTACTCAGCTAGAAGAGAAGATACGTGGCAGTAGGTTTTGGAGGAAGAGACATTATTCATCACGTCATGATGAACTTTTTTGGGGGGAGGGTGTGTGTATCAATTTTTATTACTGACTTCCATCAATCTTCATCACTATTCAGTTTTGAAAGATCTTAAAAGTATTTAATCTAAAAAGCTCTTATATGTTCAAGAATTTCTTTTTCTATTTAAGTATGAAAGCAGAATCAATTTCTCCACTTAAATAGTTTTAAACATCTTTAATAGCACTACTTGTTAATTCAGGCTTCTCTTTACTCTTTTGTGGTTTGGGAGTCTTTTATATTGATAAAGAGATAATTATTTTATTTAATATTTCCACAGCAATTATTACGGTTTTAAGAACAGTAACTGACAAAAAAGGCACTACTATTTGTGGTTGACATATTTATCTTTAAGCTAGACATCAATATTTTGCATCGTACATGCTATTGCCAGACTGCACATCTCCAGCCCCATTACCCACAAGGAGCAAGGCATCACAACATTAATACCTGTCCTTCACTTGCTGAGATCAGAGTGTTCAAAGTAACAACTGTCAAAGAAACCATACTTGCCATCTTTGCCCATAACTACAACTGGTTAAAAGTTTGTGCACGTCTCAAAGGAGTTAATTCGCTGTATTTAACAACAAGCAATGAATTTTGATGCAAGTTGTAACACAATAATGAAATTGTTTTCTGAGCAGGAAAAGTAATAAAACTTGATTTTTCACATATGTATGTACTAGTTCTCATAGAGAAACATGAATACTCAGAATTCTGCAAGCACAGAATGCCTTGATTCTCACACTGGGGAAAAAAAAATAAAAATCAGGTGTTACAGTTAGTCTAAACCTACAAGTATGCTGCTACCTCTTGCACAACGTTGCATTTGCTTTCTGACTCTGGCTGATAACAAGCAGAATATGTGACAGCTGGACTGTGCCTAATGTCCCTTAATGGGACATTGGCTTGAGTCACTTACTTGCACCTACCTGTTTTCACAAAGCTTATCAGAATTAAACTCTGAAATTTCTAGTCTGAGTTTGACTGAAGTCAACCAATGTGTTCAAAAAGTAGATGAGGAAGTTCAAAGAAAAAGACCACCTAAATTCTGTCTCCTAAGGAACAAAGGCTAGAAACAATATTAATTTTTACACAGGACACCTGGAAAAAATGTTCAGCTACTGTACCTGCATAGGACCTGGAATGCAAGACAAAACCCTTTCTATGTTTTCAGAATTCACATCAACATCATTTACAGCAACCAGAGCATCTCCTGGAGATAAAACAGACAAAAGCATGAGAAGGTTAGATGGTGTTACACCACAATACAAAGCCAAACTGCATTTTGTTTTAAGAAGTAATACGACAGTCAAGCAATCATAAATGTCTTTTTGTTACGTTTAAGTAGATGACTTCTACATGCAACATTTACTGTATTTAGAAACATTAGTCTTATTACCTCAATGCTCTTAAGGCCTTACTGCCACACTTGTATCATTTTACAAAAATAACTATTGAAGCCTCTCCCTTCCATCCAGTCTTGTATCACTTGTGTTACTTGATTAGAAAACCCAACAACTTCACCAATCGAGTTATGCCCAATAAGTGTTTTTTTTCCCTCCAAAACCACCTCTGTTCACTTGCCAATCCTTCTCCACTGCTACCTCCATTGATATGGACTACAGTCTCCAGAAGTGCTCCAAAACTCACTCTTCCTGTAGCAGGTTACAAGTTCTAGGCCATCACTTACACCAGAGGTTTGAAGCTGGCTGAGCCTAACTATGGGAGAATCCCACCACCCTGAGCCCCTCTCTTTGCAGCAGTCTTGGCAGTTACCGTGCGCCTTAACTCAGTTCACCAAGCTGACAGAAAACCATTCACTCTTCAGGCAAGGGATTCTTGTAACCCAAATGCTTGCTTAAATGACCGCTAGAGGTGGCAAAAGTGAGACGGACTGTGTAGACAGGATGTGATAGACCTCAGCCACCCTTATTTTGTGGTATCGAGCAGGCAGTTTGGCTTAGCATCTTGTGAAATGTCACTTTTCTTTAAATGTATATTTTTTTTTTAAATCACAGCTACCTCATTTCATTTCTGCACTTCCTTTGTCTCTCAAGCCACATAATGATTTAGTCCTTTCTCTTCCTTTCCATGCCTTGTCCACTGCTGTGGGCTTCTTATTGTGCCCTCTTCATGCCTTTATCTGCCAGTTCTTCCTGCCTAACAACATCTTGCATTTTCTAAATCGGACTCTCTTCCCACCACTGGAAATAGGGAGAAAAACCCCAGGATCCCAAAGAAAAAGTCTTTAATTGCAAATGGAAAAGATTTGAAAAATTAAAGGCACTTGTTATGAAAGCAAACAGAGCTTCAGAGTTCACAAACTTAAAATCCTCATTGAAGTTTAAAGTACAAAAATCAAACTGGGATTTCCATCTGAAGTGAGGGAAAATATTCTAGAGAAGTATCCCAGTAATAACTAGCTGATAACATCTGCCTCATCCCTCTCAAAAAGATACATGTTGAAGCATGGAGTTTGTAAGAAGGATGACAGAGACCAGTGAAAAAAAACACCTGTGAAGTTAGAAAAACATAAAGTTAAAATAACATCAAAAGACAAAACTACTTAGATCTGTCAAAAGGAACAGAAAGTGAAAAGTAAAAATAGAAGGGCTTTTTGGGCATTCATCTACTTAAAAAAAATATGGAAGCAGCAGTAAGAAACAGATACATATTAAAGATATTTCACGTATGGTAGTGGGAGACTAAATCAAAAAGATTTGATTACTTAAGGTGGCAATTTAGACCATCAGTCCTACATCTAAGGTGAGATTTAAGGTTGAACCCGAGTCAGAAAAACTCCCACTCAAACGATAGTAGTTCATGGTTTCTCAAATGTCAGCACCCAAAGTTGGAAACACTTTTCAGTATAAAAGAAACACTATATCACAGAGCAAGAAACCAGTAAGTATTACTGGAACAACAGTACATTCACTCTCAAAAAGTCAGCCAAGTGACGCAAAACGTGAGAAAGACAGACGTAACAAGAGGATGCATCAGGAAAGGCATTTCCTTTCAATGTACGTGAGTATTATTATGACCTGACAGGATCCCATCCAGAGTACTCCTTACAATTCCACCCACCTGTGCTCAAGAAAAATGAAAACAAATGAGATCAGACACATAGCAGTAATATTGCAGTGACCATGGGAAATGGAGAACGCATTTATGTTGGTTAAAGATGAGGTGAGTAAAGGCTAGGTGTGAAAGCAGCTAGAGTAGGAATCAGAAGGTTCCATACTCTCAAAATAGAGAATTTCTAAAACACTTTCCAATAAGGCTATCTAGGGCAACATACCTAAGATGAGGCAATATAAACTGATGAAAAGAACTGTACGAAGTGACTGCCAGTGGCACCAGGATATAGGACTTTATGGTTCATTAGATCCTTCTAGAGCCAAATATTCAACTTCAGAGTAAAAACAGGCCTTATTTTCTACTTGATTTTCTTTGGTGTCACTTTCAGTTATCTCTCCTTTCTGTCCTATCAAGTGAAAAACTTCATTAGTTTACAGCTTGTATCATCTTCTGTCTGTGGAAAGGGAAGCAATGAAAAGAAATTAGCTTCTGACTTATCATCGAAAGTGACTTGATTCCAAGGTCATTCTTATTTCTTACAGGTGTGAACTAAAAATATCAAGAGCTGCTCTGGAAGAGCAAATTGAAAACCAAGTCCAATTTTGCTTTAGCTGCACAAAGACTCCCTCAAAAAGTATCCCCGCATTCTCTCCAAGACTATAAATATTAGCATTTAAAAGAGTGTAACATGTAATATAAGACACTTCATAAACGACTGAAAAACTGAGGTACCCTAATTTTGTTTCAAACTAGGTACTCTTGAGCTTTGTTTTCTAAGGAAACGAGTCTTCTACAGTTGTACTATGAGTAGCTTTGATCCCATTACTAACTTTCAGCCAAAGCTGAAAGAGAAAGCATAAGTCATGTTCCATGATACGAGTTCTCTGAATGGACTGCTGGATAGAGAAGCCCTCTCCTTTTCCTTCCTTCTGCTGCCCCAGGTAAAGCTGCACCCTGAGCTCATCACCCGTCCTGCCTGTGCTCCAGGCTGGCCCGTCCATACAAGGGCAGTTCAGAATCAGACACAGCAAACACCGACTTGTCCAAAAAGCTTTTAGAAGGCAGGAGAAGGAACGGTATTATTAAGAGCAGTCTGAGGTGTCCCCATGTGTGGGGCAAGGCACGAGGAGAGGAATTCTGGGACTGGCGTAGCAAAGGTATGTGGATATAAGGTAAATCCAAAGACAGCTGCACAGTTCATTATTTCCTCTGTTTGCAGTTCGTTTTATTATTGTATCTACATTTACATCTCATCACACTTAAGCAAGCCTTATTGAAAAAGGTGAAATAAACCAGCATGTCCACCACAACCAGTGCTGCTACATCTGTAGAGTTCAGGGAATTACATGGACTTCAGAAAACGTAGGCTAGAAGCTGCAATTGTGACACCTGAGCCAGGACACATGACAAGCCAGAGGCAGCATCACAGTAGTTTCCAACTACGCCCGCAATAGAGAAATCCTCAGCCAGGCAGTAGCAGCAGTGGTCAGCACTCTTTCAAGCAGTGTAAAGGGATTAGAAAAAGGGTATGGATTCGTAGCAAGTGTGCATGTTAGAGGAACTAGACTTTAAGCCTTGACTTGGCAACGAAAATGTGCTCAACTGCAGAAATAAAGCACTGAACAACTGTAAGGTTCAGCACGTATTTCAAATTTCTAGGGAGAAGACTTGATCAGCTCAAATACAGTGATGATAGTGACATGCATACTAAGGAAAAGCAGAATCTGTGTCTTAAGGTCACTCCATTTCCTGAGAATCTAGTCAAGACAACAGAATCTGAAAGTTTGCAAGAATTCTGACAGTTCATCGTTATTCCTATCTTCTACCCTGTTGTTAAATACCATCAAATACAATTGGAATTCTTCCCAGGTACTAGGCTGATTGCTCAAAACTGGTGCAAAACACAATTAATGCCAATGACAGAAAGAACATTCTTCTTAACTAAGAATCAGTAAGGAAATACAGAATCCCCCCCAAATGCAAGCAACATTCCTTTTTAATATACTAGGCAACAACCAACTGCTCACTGTTATTTTACATTAAAGGAAAATTAATTCCTACTTTTTCTTACAGTAAACCCAAGAAAAGGTTAAGTTTTACTATACACACAAAAATGTTATCACTCCTCGGAATGAATTAAGCTGTTTTTTCTATTTCAAGTAGTAGTAGCTCTCTCCCTAACCTCTGTGTTTCCTGATGCACAGCACAGTGAAATTTTAGCCTGTCGAATCTTCAACAGAACAATAATTCAAATACAGGAAAGCTGAAAGTTAAACAGCATTTAAAAGCAACTCCTTAAGTCCATGCCAGAGCCCCAGGACTTGAAAATCAGTAATCAAAAGCAGAGAATTCAGGCTACCCCAATGTAACAAAAAATTCTAAACAGAATTACTACACTCTTTGTTGAAGAACACTGTATTAAAGATCATCATTCACAAAAACAAGAGAAAGCATAAATTACTCTTGTACTCATCTGGAGCACTGTTTAAACAAAAGTTGTTTGTGTTCTGTTTGTTTTACTAGAGACAACAGTTGAGTCATCTAATCAACAAAGCCATTCAAACAAGCTGCACATATTTTGTGAGGATATATGCACCTTAGCACTTAAGGGAATATTTTTGAACCACATCTCCCAGGGTGGAATATACAAAGACACTTTGAAAGGAAAAGATCCATCAGTATTTACATGTTTTATACTCAAAGTGTTTTATTTATTCGATGCCTAACGTATGTATGTAAAACTTGCAATGCAGCAGTAAATATTTATTCCATTCAATTTGTAAAAACATAATCATGTACCATAAATAGAACAGCTTTCCAGAAGACACAGCCAAAGCAATCCTGTAAGGCTGCCTTTGTTTTGCCAGAAATTCCGTATCACTATTAAAGAACTGCAACTTGATGTACAGCTGAGAAAAATCTACATTTATCAGTACACACTTTCCAGAACGGGTGGTGGGAGGTGGTGGAGGGGCTGTTTGCTTTTTTCCCCTTCTTTTCTTGTTGCCAAACACAGCAGCATTCAAAGAATAGAAACTATGAAGTAACAGAATTAGACACATCACTGGCACAACAGGAAGCACGTAAAACCATGAGCACAGAATATCCTAAAGCAGAACATGACCAAATTATCAC